TTCAGGCGCATGGTGAGACTGGAGAACAGAAGATAAACAAGAAGCCTAATACAGGATGCTATCCTTTATTAAGACAGAAATTGAACACAAAAGTCAGGATGGCATCTTCAGTTATACAGGGAATTGGCAGGGGGCAGATCTCAATTACTGTGAGCAGTTTTTGTTAAGGAAAGATGTAAACATGTTGAAGCGGTTCAGAGGAACTTTACTGGATTGATGCCTGGAATCAGCAGTGATGAACATAGGTTGGCCATATTGAGCTTGTTTCCACTGTAGTTTAGAAGAGCAAAGGGTGATTTGATTGAAGTGTGTAAAAAACTGAATGGTCTTGACAAGGTGGATAAAGATTTGAAGTTTCTCTTCTGGATGAGTCCAAAACTAGGGGGCACTCCTTTAAAATTAATAATTGCCTTTTTATGACTGAAAGGAGGAGAAATTCTCTCTAAGAGTTGTGCAACTTTGGAACATTGCTGCAGAGGGCATTGGAGGCAAGGTCATTGAATATTTTTAAGGTAGAAGTGGATAGCTTCTTGCTAGGCAGAGGAATCAAAGGTTATCTGGGTAGATGGAAATGGGGAATTCGATACACAAACAGATCAGCCATGGTAGAGGGATTGAGTTTCGGAGCCATGAGGTCATGTTGCAGCTGTACAAAACTCTGGTGCGGCCGCACTTGGAGTATTGCGTACAGTTCTGGTCACCGCATTATAGGAAGAATGTGGAAGCATTGGAAAGGGTGCAGAGGAGATTTACCAGGATGTTGCCTGGTATGGAGGGAAGGTCTTATGAGGAAAGGCTGAGGGACTTGAGGCTGTTTTCGTTAGAGAGAAGAAGGTTAAGAGGTGACTTAATAGAGACATACAAGATGATCAGAGGATTAGATAGGGTGGACAGTGGGAGCCTTTTTCCTCGGATGGTGGTGGCCAGCACGAGGGGACATAGCTTTAAATTGAGGGGTGATAGATATAGGACAGATGTCAGAGGTAGGTTCTTTACTCAGAGACTAGTAAGGGCATGGAATGCCCTGCCTGCAAAAATAGTAGACTCACCAACTTTAAGGGCATTTAAATGGTCATTGGATAAACATATGGATGATAATGGAATAGTTTAGGTTAGATGGGCTTCAGATTGGTTTCACAGGTCGGTGCAACATCGAGGGCCGAAGGGCCTGTACTGCGCTGTAATGTTCTATGTTCTATGATCTTACTTAAAGCTAGAGCAAGCTTAAGGGGCTGCATGGTGCACTGCTGCTCTTCATGTGTATGTGTCTTGATAATCTGTAACTATTCTTTTTAAAGAAAAGATTGAGAGGAGATTTGACAGAGGTATTTCAAGTGAAGAGTCTGGACAGAGCTCATAGGGAGAAACTGTTCCAATTCGTGGAAGGATGGAAGACAAGAGGGCACAGGTTTAACATGATTGGTGAAAAGACTAAAGGCAACACGAAGAGAAACAGGAAATGCTGGGACTGGAATGATCAGCACTGCCGGAGTGTGTCATGGAGGCACATTCAATGGTGACTTTCAAAAGGAACTGGCTAATTATCTTAAGAGAAACAGTCCAAGGGGAGGGGGAGAAAAAAAGAGTGGAACTGGGTGAGTTGCTCTTGCGGAGAGCCAGCATAGTCCCTTCTCAGTATTGTAACTACGTTATGTATTCAAAATTCCCATTGAAAAATTATATTCGTGACTTTAAGACAAAGACAAAGCTATGAACATCTGTAGGTCCCAGGGAATCTCTAATCCACAAGCACTCAGCTTTTGCATTTACCAAAAAAGGGCAGTGAATTGCAGAGTTAAACCTCTTTTCACTTCTGGAATAGACCATCAAAATCTGCTTATAGCTGATTGAAGTCCATTCTCATTGTGAGGCCTTAAGAGTAAACAAGCCTAAACCTAACTGAGGAACAAAGATATCATCCTCAGAGACTGATAAGTTTTGTTTAAAAAATGGTAAGGTATCTCCACAACGAAGAAAGAAAGAAAACTGCTGGACAAGATTCCACTTTAAAACTTTTACTGTGGCAAACCAACTAAAAATCAACATGATTAAAATTAAAAGGTGACTAATACTTTAAAGGAAAGACGACTTCATTTTCAGCAGCTGATACAAGATACTCCTTACGTAGCTACAAACACTCACATTGCTCCCTGCTCCAACGTGGGACCAAACACACACACTTTCGAATTGAGTCTCTGTTATGCAAGATCTCTCACTGTCTACTCAATCTTTTCCAGCAAAAGCTGTATTCCTTCTGAAATCCCTAGCCACATTTAACACCAAGAAGGCACATATCTACAAACGGTCTCTTACTCCGGTTATGGCACGGAATTTCCAGATTCCCTTCCCTGACTCTATTATATGGTTTGGTAGGCTCTGGCAGCAAACAGCAATGGGTCTTGTTCCCAGTCCACAGTCCCTTGCCCTTTCTGTCTTCAGCTCTCTGCACTTTCCAATTATATAACAAACACTAACACAGTCTTCACTCTATTCTGCTCCCAGAGACCTCCTTTTAACACAATGATCTGTTGAAAAACTGCTGAACAGAAAACCATTCCATTCAAAAGAGAACTTCGTTTGTATTCTGTCACTTCAATATTCCATATCCTGAACTGTTTGCCACAAAGACAGGCTAAAGAATAACAAGGCCACCAATTTTCAATTTATCCTTGCTTCTTGGCTGTTCCTAGCCACAGCAACCTCAGGTTATGACTACTGATGGCATTATCAGGAAACCAAGTTAACACAGAGTACTCCCCAGCCTATTTTGGTCTAAAAAAGGATATTTCACAAGAGGCCATTCCCAGAATGTGGAACATCACAATTCTGGCAAGCTGAACCTTTCGCAATGTGGTAACGACTAACAAGACATGAGAATCTGTGGGCTGTCAAAGCTACATCTTTAAGTATATTCAAGGCTCAGGTAGGCAGATTTTTAATCAGTAAAGGAATCAGGGATCATGGGGAAAAGGCAGGAAAATCGAGTTGAGGATTATCAGATCAGCCATGATCTCAGTGAATGGCAGAGCACACTTACTGGGCTGAACAGTCTACTTTTGCTCCTATGTCTAGTGGCCTTATAAACCCAGCAATGCATGTTTCTTATAAATCTTTGTGCATGAATTTTGGCATCAGTAGCAAGGCCAGTATTTGCTTCTCATTCTAGAATTCCTGTGAAGGTGAAAGTCTTTGAAGCTTTGCAGTCACTGTGACAATGGTGATTTCACAATTAACTTTGGCAAGGAATTCCAGGATATGGCACAATAACGTTACTGTGCAGACATTCTGCAACTTTTCCTTTATACTTCATTTTGCTGCTGTGCTCGCTGCATCTCCAGAATAGAGAAGTGTTCAAGTCCCTCAAAACTACATTGCAGCTTTTGACAAGGGAATGATTCTGATTCACATATTCACCATTCAAGTTCTGTCCCTTCAAGCTTTAATTAGAGGAAGTTAAATGTCAAAATCCTTACCTAAATAATAAGTTTATGCCAAAGAGGGTGAACATTACTCCAGCATAGCCCACGATCCCACTGGCGTAGCTCAATTTGTAGAGCAGGAGAAACCATTTATAAACCAGCCTGGAACAACAGAAAAGAAAGAGACAATGACTATCATCATCCTAGGGTTCACAACTGACCAGAAATTGAACTGGACAAGCCATGAATATTGTGGCTACAAAAACAGGTCCAAGACTAGGAACCCTGTAGCTTGAAACACACCTCTGTCTTCCCATAGCCCGTCCACCATCTACAAAGCATTAATGAAGATTTTGATAGAATACTTTCCATTGGCCTGAATGAGTGCAGCTCCAATAACAATCAAGAAGCTTGTCACCATTCAGGACAAACTAGTGACAGCGGTAGCCTCCCACCAATGTCAAAATTCACTCCAGTCACCACTGACGCACAAAGGTAGCAGTATGTACAATCTACAACACACACCTTCCAAATCAGTGACCTCTACCACCTAGAAGGGCATAGGAAACAGATGCATGGGAGTACCACCATCTGCAAGTCCCCATCCAAGCCTGACTTCGGTTCTGTTGAACTCCTAACAAACTCGAAACATTAACTCTTTTTCTCAATAACAGATGCTGCCAGACCTGCTGATTTTGTCAGGTATTTTCTGGTTTTATATACCATCCAGAATTGGAAATATAATTGCCATTTCTTCACTGTCATTGAGTCACAATTCTGGAGCTCCATAACAGCATTGTGGGAGTTCCTATACCACGGACTGCAGCTGTTCAAGAAGGCAGTTCATCACCACCTTCAAGGTCAATTAGAAATGGCAAGAAAATGGGCGTTGCCAGAAAAGCTCATATCCCTTGAACAAATTTTTAAGTGTCTGAAGTCCTGTAAAACTGCAGAGGATGTAAAAACTCCCATGCAAAATAAGTTGGACTATCTCAATTTATTAGTGGGCTCGACAACAAAACTGCTTCTATTAACTGTTTTCTCCTCAACACTGATAAAGTAAAATAAGAGGAGGCTCACGTGAAGTGTAAAAGCCAGCACAGACTGGTTCACCCAAACAGCCTGTTTTTATTTAAATGTTCATTCACAGGATATGGGTGCTGCTGGCCAGGTGAGCTTTTATTGCACATCCCTAATTGCCAAAGGGCGTTTAAGAATCAAAACTGCTGTGACTCTGGAGACACATATAGGCAGTTTCCTTCCCTAAAGGACATTAGTGAATCAGATGGGTTTTAATGACAATCAATGAGTTTCATAGTCACAATTACTGATATGAGCTTTCTATTGTAAATTTATTTATTTAACAGAATTAAAATTCCTCTCCTCCTGAAGGTGGACAAGTTACTTACTCTTACCATAAACTAGCATTGGATCAATTTGGTGATAATAATCAACTACCAGAAAGAGATTTTCACTTCATTTTGTGAACAATAACTTTGCAAGAGGATGAGATGCCTGATTTAATGACACTGGGACAATTTGGAGCAACTGATTGACAACAAATGAGACTTTGATATTGGACAGGATCTTCAGGGAGTAGAAGCGGTGAGCTGGCAAAGAGAAGCAAGTTTACAAGAGATGTCAGGAAGTATTCTGTCAGTACTGCACCGGATTGTTCACTTAGATTGGGTGCCCAAAAAGAATGAATTGCGTTCATGCAACACTTCATGATGTCAGCATACCAAAGAATACTGACCCCCAAGGACAATGGGATCAGTTTAACATTGTATCCAAAAAAACTCTGGTGATGCTCCCCTGACCCTCTGATAGGGTGACACTCCAATTGCACTGGTCATCTAACAGGGCAGTTCTCCCACAGCCCTGACCCTCCAACAAGGACAAGGGGTGTTGGCCATAACTGTGTGCACGGAGAACTCCACATCATTATCTATAACTGAAACAGAACAATGGTCAAATATGGAAATCAAAAACCGAAAGAACGGCAGATGCTGGAAATCAGAAACTAAAACAGAAATTGCTGGAAAAGTGGTCTGGCAGCAGCTGTGCAGAGAAATCAGAGTTAACTTTTCAGGCCCAGTGACACATCTTTAGAACTGATGGTAGCTAGGAAATTGTTGGCATTTATGAACAAGATGGGAATGATCAAATGGGATACAATTCCCCCAGCAGATTTATCTCAGTCACACAGCACATTACCTGGGCGTTGTTCCCTCCAGTGGTTTCCGCGTTGCCCGGAAAGTAACAAAGGCTGTAATTAATGAGAACAGCACCCAGATCACTAGGAACCTCCACCAGTGCAGTTTAGCTGTGAAATACAGAGGCACAACCCACATCTGGAACAGTGTCACAAGCTGCATGAGAACAAAAGACATGTTTAACGTAGCACTCTCACTCAATGCACATGTGTGAGAGAGCCACAAGGAACCCTTGTGACTGGAGACACACAATGTTGAGACTTTCGTCTCATTAGCATGGGCTATATCCCGGAGGTAAAACCTCAGTGCCCCAACAAAAAATTATTGGAAAAAGCATCCAAAGCTTCTCCCAGCCTGGCATTCTACTGATTTCTAATGTCTTTGCTGCACCCAAAGTACTCCTGTAATTTACTAAACCCCAACTCATTGTGAAAGAATTTCATTTGCTGTCTGATCTGAATTTGTTATTTGCTGGTTTACATTAACACAATAATTACAGGCATAATTGTGCCTATTTGACATGTGATTAAAGATTCTACCTCTTGAGGAAGAAAGTTTCAAGGCGAGACAAGATCACATGGTAATAAGGCACACTTCACTTGGAATCTGACAGCACAGGAGGTCATTCAGCCCATTTGGTAATACAGAACTTAAATTTTGATGTAAAACATAACACATTGCCAAAACCTTTTGCCTTAAGCTCTTCAGGACAAACACAAGAATGTCATATTTGACTGAGGTTCCCTATTGCTTTTTCCATAGCAATGCCTCGTCCAGTCAGTTGCCAACCAGCGTCATTTTCTCCTATGCAATAAATTGTCATAACAGTTTGAAATTTGGTATTCTTACATTGTCCGAATGAATGCAAGATGAAATGCTTAAGTGACACATCTGTCTTTTCAGCAATACTCAGCCAATTCTGTCTGTCTTTGAAAGCCCTATCCAATTAGATCGATTCTCCTGCTCTTTTCCCATAACCTTACCATTTTGCTCCCTTCAAATACTTAACCAATTTCCTTTTGAAGGTTCCTATTAGATCAGATTCCACTGACCCTTCAGGCAGCATGTTCCAGGTCACAAAACCTGTGGCAGAAAAGTAAACTCTCATTCACATTTGCTGACTCTATTGTCAATTATCTCATATCTGTGTTTTTGCCTAGCGATGAAGGAGCAACTAAACAGAACACTGCAGAGCTTAATAGGAAGTTCCAGTTCCAGAGAACTGAACTTGCTTTTATTTATAGAGGAGACAGCAATACATTAACTACTTGACAAGATCTAGAATAAAGATTGCATTAAGATACAGAGCATTGCCACCCTTGTTTTCTAATTCCTACGTGAGCTTGCTACATCCTCCCTCCGCAATCTTTGCTAACCTCACAATCCTCCTGAGATATCTGCATTCTAACTTTGCCACTAGCACATTCCAGTCAAATCTGATCCACCACCGAGGACCATGCCTCCAGCTGCCAGGGCTCTAAGTTCTGGAATTTCTTCCTTACAGCTCTCCAGCTCACTTTATTATTTCAAGATGAAGCTTCAAACCAATCTCTTTGAGCAAGCTTTTGCCCTAATATCTCATGTCATATGGTGTCACACTTTGTTTTTGAATGCTCCTGTGAAACACCTTGGAACATTTTGTTACATTAGAGCTGCTATAAAAACCTAAGTTGTTGGTGCTGCAAGAAAAAAATTAGTACGATCACCGATAAGTCCGAAAGATTCAGAAGGACAACATGGGACTGGGAGAACTATGTCACCATTCTCACAAGAGTAAAAGCAAACATCTGGATCCCTCTTTCCTCCTCTCCACAATTATCCCCTGAGCCTTGGTTGCCGATTTTGTGCCTTGTTGCAATCACCCTACTGGGACCTATTACCAGTACATGTCATTCTTACAGCTGTGGACGAGAAACATTTCAGCAGCTTTGAGCATATTTATAAGACCTTGGAAGGATTCGACATTTGTTATGCAAATATTTCCAGTAACAAGGTGTAGCCCATCCTCCACCTCACACTTCTCTAGGCTTTTATATATATATTTCTCTGTTATTTAGACATGACTAACATATATATCATTTATTAGCCATTATTTGGGTGGTTTGCTAGGGCACTTCTGAGAACAATTATCAGCATTACTTCAGTGTCACTGGGTCAAATTCCCTTCTTATCAGCACCATGGGCCTATCTACACCACAGCCTGCAACGCCTCAAGGTGGTTGCTCACCATTACCTTCTCAAGTAAATGCTGTTCTAACCAGTGACACCTATATCCAGTGAAAGAATTATTTAAAAAATTTAAGTTATTATTGGCCTAAGACTGGAGGCACATGACATGCAGACCTGGTACAGACAGTAGCTTTTCTTCTAAAGAGGATTAATTGGTCACTTTTACTGCAGGACATCTGCAGGGTCTGTCCCACTATTCAATTAGATCATAGCTGATCTGTACATTAACTGCATCCCTTAGTACCAATATGCAGAGAAAAGAGTTTTTCCTCCATCTATCCTACCAAATCCTTTGAAAGTTTCAATTAGATGACTACTTAATCTTCAAGGGAGTACAAGTCTCAACTGTGCAATCTGTTCTCACAATTTAACCCCCTTATTATGAATATAGCAATATTCTGGTGAATTGCAATACATCCACTCCATGGTCAATACATTGCCCAAAGGCCTGGGCCCAGAATGGTGCAGTTATTCCAGATGGAGTCTGAACACAGCTTCATATGACTGAAGCTCAGCTTCCAGTCTTTTGTATGCCCATTCCCACAAGATAAGAGAACAGGGGTTTCTTAAAATCTAAGCTCTCAAACTACCTATGGTGCGATTTGAACTCTTGTTCTCTGGATTATTCATTCAGTAAAAGCAGAAGCAGGCCATGTGGCCCTTTGAGTCTGTGGTGCTATGTCAGAGTTAGTGAACTGCCACCACGGTGCAGGCTTTTCCTCCAGCAGGATATCCGTTCCTGACAATGGCAATGTTTACGTTAGCTCCCATAACATAAGAATTGGATGTGGCTAATGTGGTATTGAAAGCTTCAACAGACATTTATCACAACTCATGATATATATGAATATTACAATTTAGATTAAGCCATTATATAAAATTTAATATTAAGCTATTCACATCGTGCTCAAGTGGCTCCCAGTTAAGATGGAGCTTGAGACCTTCCTCCCTTCAGATCACATGCTATGCTGGAATATGATATCATGAGCATCTTTCTTAAAGGTATGCTGTGTACAAACTCTAACTCTGCCATTCAATAAGATTACAGCTGATCTGTTTGTGTTTTGAATTCCACATTCCCAGCTACCCCAATAACTTACACTCATTGGTCAACATGTACATTCAAAATTCTACAGCTCCACACCTAAGATTGGTCTTATTACAAGCAACCTTGTAAATTGGGCCCAAGCAATTTGTTCACATCCTGTGGGATAATGATGACCCTAATCAGATCATTTCTCACTGAATATCACAATATCATGAATGTATCTAAAGCTCTCTCTTTTGGTCCTGTCAAGTGCCCAGCCTACCACAGAAAACCGTGGAAAGGCAAAATATCTCGAATGCTTGAACAAGTGAAGCATACTTTCCCACACTATACATCACCTGCCAGATTTCTGCCCACTCATTCAATCTATCTATATCCATCTGCAATTTCTTTACATCTTCTTTACCTACCTTTGGGTCATTGGCAAATTGGCTATCATGCCTTTGCCAGCTAGCCGCACTTCTATCTATGCTAACATTACTCCCTACACCATGAGCTTCTACTTTGCTACTTTTGCGGCACCTTTACAAACGCCTTCTGGGAATCCAAGCACAGTGCAACTACTGGTTCCTTGTTATCCATAGCATATGTTAGTCCTTCAAAGAACTCCTTAAAATTGGTTAAACACAATTTCCATTATACAAAGCCATGACAACTCTTGCCAATAACTTGGAGTTTTTCTAAATGCCCAGTTTTAAACTCCCAAATGATCAATTAACATCCTCTCACAAAGATATCAAGCTAATTGGTCTATACTTTCCTGTTTTCTGCTTCACTACCTCCTTGAATGGACAAGTTATATATGCCACTTTCTAATTTCATGGAACTCATTCAGAAACAAAGTAATTTTGGAAAATTAATAGCAACACATATACCATCTTAAGTGCAACTCCTGTTAAGGCCCTAGGATGAAGTCCATCTGGACCCAATGACTTGTAAGTTTGCAGCTTATTCAGCCTGCTAAGTGCTCCTTCCCTCTCACTTCCATCCCCTGATTTACAGCTATTACTGGAATTTTTTTGCATCAAGAGTGAAGACAGAAGAAAAATATTTGCTCATTTCACAGGAACATAGGAACAAGAGTACGTCATTCAGCCTCTCTAGCCTGTCTGTCATTCAATGGCTGATCTGTGGCCTATGGGCACAGAAAAGATTTACCAGGATGTTGCCTGGTATGGGGGGCATTAGCTATGAGGAGAGGTTGGAGAAACTTAGGTTGTTCTCACTGGAACAACAGAGGTTGAGGGGCGACCGGATAGAGGTCTACAAGATTATGAAGGACATGGACAGAGTGGACAGTCACAAGCTTTTTCCCAGGGTGGAAGTGTCAGTTACTAGGGGCATAGGTTTAAGGTGCAAGGGGCAAAGTTTAAAGGTAATGTACGAGGCAAGTTTTTTTTTTACACAGATGGTGGTGTGTGCCTGGAATTCACTACCAGGGGAGGTAGTAGAAGCAGATACGATAGTGGCTTTTAAAGGGCGTCTTGACAAATACATGAATAGGATGGGAATAGAGGGATACGGTCCCTGGAACGGTAGGGGGTTTTAGTTGTGATGGGCAGTATGTCAGTGCAGGCTTGGAGGGCCGAAGGGCCTGTTCCTGTGCTGTAATTTTCTTTGTTCTTTGTTCTAACTCCATATACCTATCTTTTTCATATCCCATGATACCCTGGCTTAAGAAAAAATTATCTACCTACAATTAATTTCCCATTCTTACTCTACAGCATCAACATTCACATTCTTTTAAAAAATACTGGTAGAAACTTTTGCTATTTGTTATTATATTTCTAGCTAGCTTTCTCACATACACTAATTTCTTGCTTCTGATTAACTATTTAGCCATTCTTAACAATTCGTAATGCTCTATACAATCATCTGACCTGCCACTCATCTTTGAATGCTGCCTTGTATGAAATAAATACACCCTTACGTTGTAGGACTTGGCATGTCTCTGCTTCCACTGGACCAGAAGAATCTGTGCAACCACCAAGGTAACAATGAGAATGAGCACCATCTCTGCATGCATTGCCTCATGCCCCCGGTGCTTGGCATGCATCCGTGCATGTTCCACCCTGCAATAAATAGAAAGTGACAATTAGGATATACCAATGCTCGAATGGTCTTGCATCACTGCAAGAGTTTTTTTTCATTTTTATTGTCGCAGGTTGCCCTAAGGCACTTGAGAGATGCTAGCGCAGTGGTAATATCATTAGGCTAGTGATCCAGAGACATAAGTTCAAACCCCACCACGGCAGAGGTTAGAATTTGAATTTAATTAATTGACAAATTTGCAATGAAAAAGCTTGTCTCAGTGGGTGGTCCCACACCTCAGAGACTGCAGCTGCTTAAGAAGGCAGCTCACCACGAACCTTCTCCAGGGCAATTCAGGATGAGCAACAAAATGCTGGCCTTGCTATTGACACCCACATTCCAAGAGAGAAAATAAAACTTTGCAATGAATTAAATACTTATTGAAGAGTCATAATTGCTAGAATTACATAGCATTACATGAAACAAACAAAAAAAATAACAGGCCAGTTTCAGTCCAAACTGTCCAAGTTAACATTTATGCTCCCTATGAGCCTTCTCCCAAATCATTTAACTGTCAGCTTAAAGTCCTGTTCTTCCCTCATCAGCAGCTTATCTATAGTCCCCTTAAATACATTAAGCTTTTGCCTCAACCACTCCCTATGGCTGCCAGTTACACATTCTCAACATACTCTGGGTAAAGAAGTTTCTTTTGAATTTTAGGTGGAGCAGTTCTTCCACATAGGTTAACACATTGAGCCTTAACATAGTTATGTCAGAATGTTATGGAGTCAACCGTATAGTCTAGTGGAACTGATTATTCTCCCTTTGTTCAGATATAAATAAAATGTTATGACAACTATAAGCAAAAATAAATCATAGTAAAGATGAGAGTTCCTGTAGGAAGTGACAGGGTTGCTGTGGTGGCCATACAAAGGTTTTAGAAATTGCATATTACTGATGGCCATTGGGATTGCTCTTCCCATGTGTGAGCACATTCTTTGTGCCTACCCTTCAAAGTAATTTAAAATTAAATGATTATATTTAAATAAATAATTTGTTAATCATGATTTAATTATCATAAGATAATAGATCACCCTCTTGCTGCAGCCTTCCATATTCAACAGGAAACAACCCAGTCTCTTCATCCTTTTCTAACAACTTAAACCTAGCAGCATTGGCTATCAGAGAAAGCAAGAACTACAGATGCTGGCGTCAGAGACAACACCGTGTGAAGCTGGAGGAACACAGTAGGCCAGGCAGCATCAGAGAAACAGGAAAGTTGACGTTTCAGGTCGGGACCCTTCTTCAGAAATGGGGAGGGGGCAGGGAGCTGGGAAATAAATAGAGAGGAGGGGTGGTGCTGGGGAAGGTAGGTGGGATGGTGATAAGTGACAGCAGGTAGGCAGTGGTGGGGATTGGTCAGTGAAATGGGAGAGGTGGATAGGTGGGAAAGAAGATGGACGAGTTGCATTAGGTCAAGGAGGTGGGGATGAGAAGGAGGGTTGGACATAGGATGAGGCTGGGGGTGGGGAGATTTTAAAACAGGTGAATTCCACGTTTAGGCTATTGGGGTATAGGCTCCCGAGGCAGAATATGAGGTGTTGCTCCTCCAGTTTGCAGGTGGTGTCATTGGGCACTGGAGGAGGCACAGGATGGACATGTCATCCGGGGTGGGAGGTGGGGGTGGGGTGCGGTGCGGGGTTTAAATTGGTTGGTGACCAAAAGGTGTTGTTGTTTGTTGTGTACAGAGTGCAGATGCTCTGCAAAACAGTCTCCAAGTTTAAACTAGATCTCACCAATGTACGGGAGGCCACATCGGGAGCAGCGGACACCTTGAGCAAATTGGTGGATGTACAGGTGAGCCCCTGTCTGATAAGAAAGGTTTGATTTGGGCCTTGAATGGAGGTGAGGGGGCAGGTGTAGCACGTCCTGCAGTTGCAGGGAAAGGTGCCAGATGTGGTGGGGTTCATGGAGTGTGTGGAGCAGATGAGGGTGTCGCAGAGTGAGCGATCCCAACAAGAGGCAGACAGGGGTGGGGAGGGTGGGGTCAGATTGTAGATGGTGGAAGTGGCGGAGAATGATACGCTGGATGCGCAGGTTGGCGGGGTGATATGTGAGGACTGCAACTTACCCACTCCGGTGATCAAAAATGCATCTCTTGCATTTCCCGCACTTCTGTTCTCAAACCCCCTCCCCACAACAAAAATAAAGACATAATCCCCCTTGTCCTCACATATCAACCCATCAACCTCCACATCCAGCGTATCATTCACCTATCACCATGCCACCTACCCTCCCCAGCCCCACCCCTCCTTTCTCTATTTACTTGCCAGCTCCCTTCCCCTCCCCATTTCTGAAGAAGGGTCCCAACCCGAAATGTCAACTTTCCTGCTCCTCTGATGCTGCCTGGCCTGCTGTGCTCCTCCAGCTCCACAGCATTGGCTATCATCCTTGAAAATCTTTTTCTGCATCTCTCAAGCGTGACTACATCCTCTTCATATTATGGCGATTCGAGCTGCACATACATGCAAACATATGAATTACCAGTGTGAGTAGGCAATTGGCCCCTTTAGTCTGCTCTAACATTGAATAAGACCATGACTGATCTGATTGTGACCTCAACTCTACATTCCTGCCTAACCTCTGATTCCCAATGCCAAGAAAATTTTCTGATGTAGGAAGTATGGGGATTCACTTCCATACAGCAATATCACATAACAGCAATGAAATAAGTGGCTACGTTAACTGATTTAGTTAAGTTGGTTGAGGGTTAAAACTTGGAATTTACATATTAAATGGACAGAAGCCCAGAGACCAGGGGGCTGAACATCTAGACCTCAAGAAAACGCTTTTTTGAACAACTGCTCTATTTAAAAATACAATTAAGATTGCATCAAAAAGGTTTTTACAAAAATTAACTTAATTCACTTTAAGTAAAACCTCGTCTTCCCCAGTATGAATACACAATTTCGAAAACCTGTGTTTGCTCTTTGTAGCAATTCTCTCACTTCCTGTAGAGACTCTCATGCAAGAGTAATTTATCAGCAAGTAATATCATAACACTTTATTTTATATCTTAAAAAAGGAGGGAAAAATTGGTTCCACTTTGACCACAAGGTAGGCTCCATAACAAACTATAATATTACAAACATTTAGGTTGAGTGGGTTAAACAACGTGGAATCATTGGTCCCAAGATCCCTGATGGTGTGTGCTGAGTCAGTGTGTCTTAGCTGGGGGAATAGGGTGAGGCAGTGTGCTTGGACTTGTGTGGACTTGGGCATTTTGGGTGAATATTGAGCAGGCATACCACTGTACCAGGACACAATGTCCTTCAGTCAAACAGAATGACAATATTTACTAAGGCCATGAAAGGATCTCCATCTTGACAGCAGCCATTACTTTTTTTTTGGAATCAAAATTACAAGCTACTTTCTAAAATGCAAACTTACTGCATTTCTTTTTGTTCACAGTGTGGGGTCATTGGTGGCTAGATTTATTGTCATTACATGGCCTTGAGGAAGCAGTGGTGAGTCAGCTTCTTGAAATATAAATGAGGGCCTTTTTCAGCTATTTCAGGTAAAAGTCAAGCACCTTGCTGGAGGTCTAATGTCACATTAAGGCCAGACCCAGGAAGGATGGCAGATTTCCTTCCTTAAAGGGGGAGAAAGCAAGCCGATGGGTTTTTATTAATATAAAAAATAAACAATCCAGTAGTTACTGCATCACTATTACTGAAATTCATCTATTGTTGTAGATTTATTGAACTGCCTGAGAGATTTCAGATTGCCACTAGTATTTGTGAAACTGTACCTTGACATTAAAAAAAAACCCATGTTGGAATTTTTGTAATTATCTTAACTCTTTATAAAGTGAAAACATTTTACCAATGTACCAATCAAAATCCTAACGATGGATTGTTAGAGATGAGTTCACCACCTCAAGTCTTCTTATATCTCAAGAAATGAGCCCCTCCCCCATTCAGCCTGTCATGGTAGTTACAGAACTCTCAGTTCTGGTTCCTTGCAGATCTCCTTTGTGCCCTCCCCATTGCCTTTATCTCCCATTTAACTGAACACATACTCACCTCCATCTTTCCTCTGGTGATAGGCCTGTGAGGTCAATCTGAAAGAGATAGGGAAAGACTTGATTAGGTTAAATTGTATTTTTGGACAGCAATAGCTTCAAAGGGCATGGAGATTTTGTGTAACCCTTTTTCAAATATCCCAATCAATGTTCAACCTGTCGATTAACGCTACCACTGTGGTATCTCCCCGTGTATGACTTGGCTGCTTTGTTGACATAAAAGTTCGTTTATGTTTAAAAGTCCTTTATTCAGTCTAGGATGTGAGTGTCACTAGCTGGGTCAGCATTTATTTCCAAAGCCTCATGATGGGGACAATGATCCATTGCATGTTTGTCCAGTGAGATAGCTTCCAGAATATTTCATATTACCACAATGACTTCATTTCAATGTCTGCGACATGCTCTGGGACATCCTGAGCTTATTAAAAGCACTACAGAAATGCAAACCCTTTTCTTTTACACTGGAGTTTAAAATTTCATCCCAAAGACCATAAAGTGATCAATTTGAACATTCGAGTGAAATAATGCCACACTAATTCCTTTAATGTGGTGCTCACGATTTAGAATATTCTAGAGTCATACAGCATGGAAACGGACCCAAGCATGTTCCCAAGCCAAACTAATCCTACCTGCCGGCATTTGGCCTATATCACTCCAAACCTCCGCTATTCATCTACTTATCCAAATGTCTTTTAAATGTTGTAACTGTGCCCACATCCATCAGCTCCTCTGGCAGTTCATTCAAAATATGAACCACTCTGCATAAAAAGGTTGCACCCATGTCCTTTTTAAATGTTTTTCCTTTCACCTTAAAAATATGCCCCCTAGTTTTGAACTGCTCTACCCTACAGAAAAGACCCTTGCTATTCACCTTATCTATGCCCCTCATGATATTATAAACCTCTATAAAGGTCACACACCGCCCCCAATTCCTACTCTCCAGCGAAAAAAGTCCCAGCCTCTCTTTGTAACTATAACCTTCCATTGCTGGCAACATCCTGGTAAATCTTTTCTGAACTCTTTCCGATTTAGTAATATCCTTCCTATAGCAGGGCAACAAGAACTGTACACAGTACTTTTGGGTGAACTGCAGCATTCCCACAGACAACTGGGAATTACTTTCCCAAGAGGAGGAGAGGCATCCAGGAAGGCATTGAGCACCTCGTGACTTGTCGTCATGAAAAAGTGGAAGCCAGGTGAGAAAAGCAAAAGGAGCATGCTGCCACGCCAATGCCCAAACCATCCCTTCCCAAAACAACCTTCTGCCCCAAATGCAACAGAGCCTGCAGTAACCGCATTGGTCTGTACAACCACGTACAGACTTGCTGAGAGTGGAAGAGAATCCTCATTTGCAAGGGACCACCAATAATGATTGACACGGAATTCCAGAAAAGGCCTCACCAATGTCCTGTACAACCTCAACATGACATCCCAACTCCCATACTCAAAAGTCCGAGAAATTAAGGCAAGCATGCTGAATGCCTTCTTAACCACCCTGACACAAATTTCAAAGAATTATTTACCTGAACTCCTAGGTCTCTCTGTTCTATATCACTACCCAGGGCCCTACCATTAATTGTATAAGTCCTGCCCTTGTTCGTTTTACCAAAATGCAATACCTCACATTTATCCAGATTAAACCCTATCTGCCACTCCTCAGCCCATTGACCCAATTGATCAAGATCTTCTTCACTGTCCACTATAACCACCAAGTTTGGCGTCATCCACAAACTTACCATCCTTAAATCTATGTCCCTCGTTACTGACCTCTCTAATAATGAAAAAAATGCCTTCTTATTCACTCTATCTATGCCCCTCAATCTTATACACCTCTATCAGGTTTTCTTTGCCACTCCAAGGAAAACAATCCCAGCCTAACCAATCCTTTCTCACAGCACAGACCCTCCAACCCAGGCAGCATCCTGGTAAATCCCGTCTGCACTCTCTCAAATGCAATCACATCCTTCCTATAATGTGGTGACTAGAATTACATGCAGTACTCCAGTTGTGGCCTAACCAGCATTTTATATACTTTCAGCATAACTTCCTTGCTCCTGTATTCTGTGCCTTAGCTAGTAAAGGTAAATATCCCATATACCTTCTTAACCACCTTATCCACCAACCCTCCTACCTTCAGGGCATGAATATATGAACCAAGGTCCATTATCAGTGCATTAAATCAAGGGGACATAGGGTAAAGACATGTTATTACATAGCATGTTTCACAATGTCCCAAAACACTTCATAGCCAAAGATAGCACTCCTGATAGTGTAGCATTCCCTAAGAAATACTTCTGAACTGCAGTCGCCATTACAGTGTGGGCAACATAAGAGGCAATTTGCACACAGCAAGTTGCAAAGAGTAACGTGATAATGACCACTTACTGACCTAGGGATAAGTATTGACACAGATCACTCAGTAGAGCTCCTTTGGTCTCCAAAATGATATGAGTTCAGGGCAGGATGTTTTAGCTAGGCACCATGGGATCTTTTTCATCCACCTGACAGGGCAAACAAGTCCCTGATTTAATGTTTCATCTGCAAATCTGCACCTCAGGCCTCGCAGCAAAGCCTCAATACTAACTGTAATGGCAGCCTAAATTTCAGTGCTCAAGTCTTTGCAGAGGGATTCCAATGACCTCCAAACTTGTAAGTGAAAGTTGTATCAATAAATGCAAAGCTGATGTGGAAAATCTGATATCTATATCTCTTGTACTTTAATCCCAGGGCCCAAACATTCAGCTAAACCAAGATCATTTGTACGATAAATATCACATTTAGTCATAACTAAACTGGGAAAAATAAACATCCCAATCTACTGCATACAATGTAAAAGTTTGTTGTCAAGTCAGTGCCATTTTCAAACCTTTAACCCTCCTGGAATTACTACTGTTCACACTTTTTTTTTTATTCCCTAATACATCCTCTGACATCTCTCCTCTCTCCAATAATGACACTCCAGTACAATATGAAAGACATGCTGCACTGTTAACATTCCTCCCTCAAGCCACACCACTAGCAGGCGAAGCAAGGAATTTCTTCTTCAAAAGGTGGTGGAAGCATAGTATTTCAAAGGCAGAAGTACTAAATAGAATCTGGATAAGCAAAAGGATGAAAGGTTATCAGGAGAAATGCAGGATTGTGGAATAATCAGATCAGCCATAATCTCATCGAATGATGGATTAGTAGTTTCAAGATGCTGAGTGACCTCCTCTGCTCCTAATTTATAAAATCATTTATTTATGTATGTGGGTTCTCTCTGTGATCAACACAGCTATCATTTCTGCTAACATAGTAACACCGGTTATATGAAAAATTAATTACACAAATAGTTCTTTAGTATTGTTAGAAAGAAGAAATGTCTACTTATAGCAGGTGTCTTGGTGTTAAGACCATTTACCTATTCAGGGATTATCAGTAAAACGATCATGAGCTGTAGGAATTAAAACTTGCTCAAGCGCCAACAAGAGGACTCAAAGTGCAAATATTTGGTTGGCTTTTGTACACAGTTGGAGATATATGGTGGAGCAGACTTGATGGGTTGAGTGGTCTACTTCTGCACCCATGCCTCATGGTTTTATTAAAATATTAAATTGTTAAAACAGTAGGTTGTCACTCTGGCTCAGACTCACTGCACTCTCACTGTGGAATAAGAAGAATGTGGATTCAAATCAGACCCCAGAAGGATGGAACTTCTGTTCTGCAGTCCAGATGTTAAAACACAGTCCCCATTTGCCCTCTTGTGTGGATACAAAGAGTCCCATGGCACGACTTGGAAGACTCAACGGAATTTTCCTGACCAACACTGATTCGTGAACCAACATCCACTAACAACATATCTGGTCATTATCACATCCTGAGCGCAAATTAGTTGCTGTGCTTTCTACAAAAATGATTAGACTTCAAAAGGTGGTTGTAAAAGGACTTTAGGAATGACCCGAGGTCACCAAAGATAGAACAGGACAGAACCTTTTTTTAAACTTTCAGAGTCCGTGTTGGGTGTCTGCAGTCCCAGCACAGGCTTATTTCTTCGACAGGAAAGAAGTGGGCTGGCCTGTGACATTACTTAAAGCTCGAGTTTCTGCCTACATGTTAGATGTCTCAGACTCTATTAACCGAGGACAGCTCTGGCCTTCAGTGTTTTTATTAGTCATGATATCGATCAGAGGTTTGTGAATAAATTGCCCAAAGTAGCACGACCACCTGGAGCTTGTGCAAACTGCCTGTTACGTTGCATACATTGCAATGGTTACTATACTTCAGAAGTGTTTCTAAGGGAGTGCTGCAAGACTCCAGGAACACTGAAAATCTCACTCTCCATCACCCAAATGGGGATGGCTATTCCAGAATCTGACCTAGCATTTAAGCTGGAAGATCAGACTGTCAAGAGCTACTTCTAGGAGATGACATTCACTAAGTTTGTTAGACCTGCTCTCCCACTTAAAACAGGTAGCAAGACTTTGCATTTGCATAGTGTCAGTCTCATCCTCAGGACATTCTACAAGATTTGACAGTCATGAATACTTTGAGCATCCTCACTGTTATTAAGTAGACAGCTCATGAACACAGTAAAATCCCATAAACTGCAATGAGGTGAATAACCAGTTAATCAGTTTCAATAGCATTGGACGAGGGTTTTATGTTTCACAGGGCATTGGGAGAACTCTGCTCTTCCCAAAAAATTCTGAATGCAGCACTATTTCAGTGCCACACATTTAATCTTATATAGCAGTTGGAACCCACAACCTTCTGACTCAAAACAGTGAGATGGAAGTCTCCAAGCTGGCAATTAACTACTCAGTAAACACAAAGGACTGGCAATCTCCTTGAGGCTGGGGTGGTGATCCATGATGTCAGCACTGCGACCAACAGAATCCATATGATTCTAAACAAAACTTCCAACATTCTCACTCTATACTTCTTCACCTCAAACAGCATTCTACATCAGCGTCAAAGTCCAGCCACTAAATGGCCTTGACAGATGCAAGGTAATGTCACCCTTGTCCTGTGGGGCCGTAGGGCTGCTCTCTCATTTGTAAGACAAATGACTGGTGGGTGGTTTAACCAAAGGGTCACCGCACCTCTGATAGCACAGAAAGAGAGTCCTTCATGGTAACCTCAGCTGATATGGGAACTGAACCCACTGCTCTACATTGCCAACCAGCCATCGAGCCAACTGAGCCCCTCAGCAGATGCACGTAGTTCTACAACAACATAACTTGTATTTAGATAGCAATCTTAACATAAAACAAAATTTTCCACCAAGTCACATTAGGCCAATGTGAGAAAAGGCAATCAAATATTTGGCCAAAGAGGTAGGTTTTTAACGATTATCATCACAGGGCAGAGAGGGTTTGGGGTTGCACAGCTTTAGGGAGAGAAGCCCAGAACTCAGGGTCTCAGCATTGAAAGCATAGTCGCCAATAGTGGGGGTTGGAAATGGGGGCAAATAGAAGAGGCCAGAATTTCAAGAAAGCGGATATCCTTGAGGATTCTGTTCTTTAATCTTTCATGGAATGCAGGAGTTGCTGGAATCCCTAATTGTCCTTGAACTGAGTGGGTTACTAGACCATTACTGAGGGCAGTTAAGAGTCAAGCAGATTGCTGTGGGTCTCAAGTCACACAAGGGACAGACCAGGTAAGGAAGGCAGATTTCCTTCACTTAGGACAGTAGTGATGGTTTTTCTACAACAAACAACCACAGTAAATGGTCACCACTACTGAGACTAATGTTCAATCACTGATCTAATTAAATGAATTTAAATCCCACAAGCCATTGTGGTGGGACTCGGACTCACGTCACCCAAGCATTATTCTGGGTCTCCAGATTACTAGCTCAGAGTTCCATCTCCCTCAGTCATTCTCGTTGTGGTGCCAAAGCAAATTAGAGAGATTGGGACATAGAAAATAGCAGAAGGATATGGAAGATAGAGAACGTGCGGAAATAAATGGCAACCTCTTGAAAATGTCCATATTACAGAGGTGGTGGTGCTGGACATCTTAAAACATAAAGATGGATAAATCCCCAGGACCTTATCAGGAGTACCCTAGAACTTTAAAAAAAAACTGAAAGAACTGCGGATGCTGTAAATCAGGAACAAAAACAAAGTTGCTGGAAAAGCTCAGATGCTGCCAGACCTGCTCTTCCAGCAACTTTGTTTTTATACCCTAGAACTTTATGGGAAGCTAGGGAAGTGATTGCTGGGCCCCTTGCTGAGATATTTGTATCATTGATAGCTACAGGCGAGGTGCTGGAAGACTGGAGATTGGCTAATGTTGTGCCACAACTTAAGAAAGGTGGGAAGGAAAACCCAGGGAACTATAGACCAATGAGCCTGACATTGGTGGTGGGCAAGTTGTTGGAGGGAATCCTGAGGGACAGGATTTATACGTAGTTGGAAAGGCAAGGACTGATTAGGGATAGTCAACATGGCTCTGTGTGGGAAATCATGTCTCACTAACTTGATTGAATTTTTAGAAGTGACAAAGAGGATTGATGAGGGCAGAGCGACGGACGTGATCACTGTAGACTTCAGTAAGGCATTTGACAAGGTTCCTCATAGTAGACTGGTTAGCAAGGTTAGATCACACGGAACAGATGGAGAACTAGCTATTTGGATACAGAACTAGCTCGCAGGTAGAAGACAGAGTGTGGTGGTGGAGGACTGCTTTTCTGACGAGAGATCTGTGACCAGCGGTGTGCCACAGGGATCAGTGCTGGGTCCACTGCTTTTCATCGTTTATATAAATGATTTGGATGTGAACGTAGGAGGCATAGTTAGTAAGGTTTCAAATGACACCAAAATTGGTGGTGTAGTGGACAGCCAAGGTTACCTCAAGAGTACAACGGGATCTTGATCAGATTGGCCAATGGGCCGAGGAGTGGCAGATGGAGTTTAATTTAAATAAATGTGAGGTGCTGCATTTTGGAAAGGCAATTCTGGGGAGGATTTATACCCTTAATGGTATGGTCCTGGGAATGCTGTTGAACAAAGAGACCTTTGAGTACAGGTTCATAGTTCCTTGAAAGTGGAGACACAGGGAAGGTAGCATAGTGAAGAAGCCTTTTGTATGCTTGCCTTTATTGGTCAGTGATTGAGTATAAGAGTTGGGAAGTCATGTTACAGCTTTACAGGAATTGGTTAGGCCACTGTTGGAATACTATGTGCAATTCTGGTCTCCCTGCTATAGGAAAGATGTTGTGAAACTTGAAGGGCGCAGAAAAGTTTTACAAGGATGTTGCCAGGACTGGAGGGTTTGAGCTATAGGCAGAGGCTGAATAGTCTGGGAGTATTTTCCCTACAGCATCGGAGGCTGAGGAGTGATCTTATAGAGGCTTATAAAATTATGAGGGACATGGATAGGATAAATAGACAAGGTCTTTTCCCAGGGCGAGGGAGTCCAAAACTAGAGGGCATAGGTTCAAGGTGAGAGGGGAAAGATTTAAAAAGGGACCTAAGGGGCACCTTTTTCATGCAGAGGATGGTGTGTGTATGGAATGAGCTGCCAGAGGAAGTGGAGGAGGCTTGTACAATTACAAGATTTATAAGGCATCTGGCTGGGTATATGAATAGAAAGGGTTTAGAGGGATATGGGCCAAAGGCTGGCAAATGGGACTAAATTTATTTAGGATACCTGGTTGGCACGGACAAGTTGGACCAAAAGATGTGTTTCCATGCTGTATATCTCTATTACTCTAAGTCAGCCATTCAGCTCCTTGAATTTGCCCTAACATTCAATTAGATCATGGCTGATGATTTACTTTAGTATTATTTATTAATGTTATGTCGAATAGGACTCTTCTTCACAAGTCACTGCAACCTGACCTGCCAGGTTTGTTCAACACTTTGTGCTTTTTGTTTCGGATTTCCTGCAGGATTTTGATGACGTTTCCACAGACTAGTTCTCAACGCCAGAATTTAAAAAAAAAAAAAAAAAAGCGCTTGTTGAGAGAATTTAAATTCTGCCAGTTGTCAGGGTAGGATTTGAATCTGTGTCCCAAAATGCATTAGTCTGTTTCTGGATTACTAGTCCAGATACATTATAAAACTACACCACTGTCTCCTCCCTTGTTCTTCCTAACTAAGTCAGCAACAGATAATAAAAGAAAATACTCCCTAAAATGTCAGCAGAATATAGCTATACTTAAAACTGCACACAGAAGCCAGAAAACAACATAAGGTAGGATTTGAAAAACAGAAGAAAATTTTAAAGAGCTGAAGCTAAAGTGGTCAGGCGTAAATCGTAATGGATGCCATGTTCTGAAAATCCTTTTACAAGTTACTATGGAGGATAGGTGATTTGATTAGGGGAATGAATGCATACTGGATTGAAAACTGGTGAAACCATCAACAGTTACATCTGCATTAACCTATCTGAGCTGTCGAGAACAGCAAGCTAACGTAGCTCAAGGCAGCTGGTGGAATTAATTTCAATTAATAAATTAGAGTATAAACAGAGTCTTAATAACTCTGACCTTGAAACTATCATCAATTGTTGTAAAAACCCATGTGGTTCACTAGTGACCGTTAGGGACGGAAATTTGCCATCCTTGTCCTGTTGAGCCTATGTGTTTCCAGATCCAGGGCAATTCATAGAGTCAGAATTTCTAGAGCTTGGGAAGAGCCTTTTCGCCCATCATGTTCACGTTGTAATCAAACATCCATCCGTATCAATCTCATCTTGCAGCAATTTTATGTTTAGCAGTCATAAATGTCCCCTAAAATGGTCTAGTGAGCCACTCAATAATGCAGCCTCCACTGTTGCTTGAGAAAAACATTTTTCTCTCAGAGGGCTGAGAGTCTTTGAAACTACATTTATCAAAAGGTGGTGGAAACAGTCATCGAATACCTTCATGTCAAAGGCAGATGGATTCTTGACAACCAAGGGAGTGAAAGGTTATTGGGATAGGTAGGAACATGGAGTAATCAGATTAACCATAGTGGTACCGAATGGCAAACCAAGCTTGAAGATCCACATGATCTACTCCTGCTCCCAAATAGTATGCAAGAGAATTTCTGTAATCTAGGCTCAGCTCCAGCCCCTCCAATCTATCCCTATGAGGGAGGTACAGGATGTACACAGACATTGTACACAATAATGGAAACAAAAGGGTTAACGTACAAGGTGACTTGTCACTCAACACATTGTCATATATTGGGTGAAGCATTGACAGACTTACTTGTGGGCATGGTCTCCTGCTGAAGGCATGTGTGTTTTTTCTACTTTTTATTTAGTGATTATTAATATGCCTACAGGCTGGTTTACAATACAGAGTGATGCCAACAGTATAGATTCAATTCTTGCACTGGCTGAGGTTACCAGTAAAAGAGTCTCCTCCTCAACCTCACTCCTCTCTTGAGGTGTGGTGACCCTCAGGCCAAACCACTGCCAGTCGTCTCTCTCTAATGAGGCTGCAGCCCAGTAAGCTGGTGAGACGATAGCAGCTTTACTCTTATATAGTTAGTGAGATGTAACAAACTGTAACCTTCTGATCCAAGACAATTGCCTCTCCTGTTGAGACTTGTCCGTAGTCCAACCTCCACCACAGACTGTCCCCGAACCCCAGAGGATCAGTTGGAATGATGGCACGAACTACCGCCATCACAGCGGGTGACAACATTCCTACGACAGGCAGTGGTGTTAGGGACCGCAGCTTTGCTCTGAATTCTTGTCAGTGACAGTAAGGAGGGTTCCCCGGCCCGCGGCCGGCTACAGGGAAAGGTCTCCACACCGAGCTGACACAGACTGGACCCTGGGTGGGGAGGCTATCACCCGTGCTACCTTCCTTACCGGTTCATCCTCGTCCTCCCCCGGGAGCCTATACCCCTCTCCGTGCGGCCCGAGCCCGGCTCCGTGCCCGTGGCCGTGAAGCTCCATCACCGCCGCCATCTTTAGCCTAGTAACCCAGGAACACCGCCTGTCATTGGCTGGGCCTGTCCATCCAATCGGCGGTCCGTATACTCCGGGAAGG